GCGCAAAGCAAGATCACTGTAGAAGCTCCGAAAAAATGCCAAAAATGAGAATGATGTAAAAACTGCAGGCAGCGCGAGCGCAGAGCCTGTATGAGACAAAGGAGCGCAATAAGAGTTTTTCAACTTACCTTAAACGCAAAGCTCTGCTCTGCTGCGCGCAAAAGGGAGATTTCAGGCTTTATCGCAGGAGCTCATTTACAAAAGCAAACCGCGCTGATGTTTTTGAAGAAATATTTCTCCTGATTTGACAGTAAAGCTGGAATGTGAAGTATGACTTCGGTATGAAATCACGGCGAACTCGAGCGGAGCGCTGGAGGAGGAGTCAATCGAGGAGGAGGAGGACAAACCTCCACCCGCTCCAACTTCACCAGCAAACCACAGACGAGATGCGCTCAGCGGCTCCGCGTGTGTGTGCCCGCGCGTGCGTGTTTTTGGGACATATTAGAAAACCAATGTGTATAATCACATGGGCATTACGAAGGTATTACAAGGAGATTGTGAATTCTGACATGCTGTTTTCCCCATTTCTCCAAAGGCGTATCTGAATTGTTTGTACACAGTTCCCTAAGGGGTTAACTAAATTAGGATAACTAGGTAGGTTAGGGCAATTAGGCAAGTTATTGTATAGCAATGGTTTGTTTTCTAGACTATCGAGAAAATATTTTGCCTAAAGGGGCTAATAATTTGACCTTAAAATGGTTTTCAAACAATTTAGAACTGTTTTCATTCTAGCCGAAATAAAACAAATAAGACTTTCTCCAAAAGAAAAAAATATATATACAATCAGACATAATGTGAAAATGTCCTTGCTCTGTTAAACATCAATTGGGAAATATAAAAAATAAATAAATCAAAGGGGGCTAATAATTCTGACTTCAGTCGTAAATACAGTATATTTTATAATATATATCCAGTTTAAGTCTAATTTAAGTGATCACAAACTTCAAAATAATTTGCAATAGCAGCTGTTTCCAAACAGGTTTCCCATATCCTATCCCCTAATACAGTGGTTTCAAAGTGGGGGTCGGGACCCCCCGAGGGGTCGTGGGGCAATGAAGGGGGGTCGCCTGGTGATTTCCAAAAATCTATTTATTTGTATTAATATAAACATTTTTATTAATATAATGTATTAAAACATATTTTATCCTTAACTATACTGAAAATAAAAATAGTTGTTTATAGTTACTATATACTATATAGTTACTATAGTAGCTTATAGTTACTAGTTCTATTGGATTGCGACCCCTGGGGTAATTACATTATATTAAAGGCAGCAATAGCGTCAAATGCATTTTGATTTTATAACATCAGGTTATACTTTCTGGCACATTTAAAGCACTGACACAAATATAATTGGTGTGTCTGCATCATTGCATGCAAGGTTTCTGTATTTATAACCACCTCAGAGGATATTGGGGGTCGCGAGTCACTGGCATTGTTATTTTGGGGGTCGCGGGCTGAAAAGTTTGGGAACCCCTGCCCTAATAGATGGTCAAACAGATACCTCTGGCCCACTGGCTGATGTGAATAGTGACTTTTTTTCTTTTCTTTTTTTTTTATAGTGCACCGTTTTCAACTCAAAGAGGAATTAAAAGTGTCAAACTCATATATATATATATATATATATATATATATATATATATATATATATATATATATATATATATATATATATATATATATATATATATATATATATATATATATATATATATATATATATATATATATATATATATATATATATATATATATATATATATATATATATATATATATATATATATATATATATATATATATATATATATATATATATATATATATATATATATATATATATATATATATATATATATATATATATATATATATATATATATATATATATATATATATATATATATATATATATATATATATATATATATATATATATATATATATATATATATATATATATATATATATATATATATATATATATATATATATATATATATATATATATATATATATATAT